AAAGGCGGGGTGAGCATCGCTGCTGCGCTGTCATATGCTCCACGTATGCATTCGTGCGTTCATGCATGACGTGGGCGCGTGTGGTGACAGTGCACGCGCGCGTGTATTGAGCGCGGGTGCATGCACCTCTGCTGTGAGCTTGTGACGCACTTGTTCCCGCCCTTTGATCGCTTATTGCTCCCCTCTTCCTCTCACATCTCTCCCTGCTGATTCAACACGTGCGTGCACTGCGTGGCTTTGTTTGACTTCTGTGCAAGCACGCATGCAATGTGAATTTGGGTTCTCACAACATATGTGCCTGTGCCTGTGTGTGTGTGTGTGTGTGTGTGTGCGTTTGATCCCACGCCTGTCTCGGTCGCCTACACTCACACTGCGTGTGTGCTGTGTCGTTTGGCGGGTTGATTCACAGCAGGGACAAGCAGATGCGCAAACGCCTCGCACCTGGCTGTCACTGACAACACCATGTTTTGTGTGACGGACATCGTGGGCGGTGGTGGTGCAGAAGAACAACAACAGCGCAGCGCGGCTGACTTTCCGCGCCAACACCCCCTCGGCAGCCACTGTGAGTGATCACAGCGCGTGCAGCGGCATGCAGCTTGTGTGTGTGTATGTGCGTGTGTGGTTGCCGCTGATGCTTCGGAGCGTGAGCAACAGCCACACAGGAGCGTTTCAAACTCAGAGTGCGCCACACCACCTGGCGTGCTCACACCAAGACGTGAACATGTGCGTGTGTGTATGTGTGTGCAGTGCGAATGGGCTGGGGTCATGCGCGACGCTGCAATCGGAAGGAGTGCGATGATGGCCAAGGTGTGGCGGTGGCCCCACGAACGCTGATTGTGCCCTGATGTACATCAAGACGCCCATGCGCGTGTGTATGTGTGTGTTGTGTGTGTGTGTGTGTGCTGTTATTGTTCTTTTTTGTTTTCCGGAGTCCCATATCTTCTCACCACTGCGAACTATGCACACGTACATGCATGCGCAGATGAGGCGAGCACCCGTGTCAAGTCGTGAACATGGGGTGGAGGAAGGGGTGCGGCTGTGTGTATGTGTGTATGTGTGTGTGTGTGTGTGCCCTCTGCTTGTTTGAAGAAAATATGGGGGAAAAGTGGGAAACGCTTTTGCTTTCACCTCAGCTGACCAACAATGGCTGATCAACAGTTTGTGATGTCTGTGAACATGTATGTGTATGTTTGTGATGTCTGTGATCATGTCTGTGAACATGTGTGTATGGTGTTTGCAGGTCGAGTCGGATGCTGGGCACTGGAGCTGCATCGCCAAGCCTCAGTTCGTATGTGGAGCATATCACACACACACACACATACTCACACACACAAACAGAAAAACAGAACCCTCACACACACAC